GAGCAGTGAATCGCACAGAACGCAGGGGGCGGGCTGCTGCCCCCGGCTGGGAGAGCCCGTGCCCTCATTTAGCCACGCTTGGGATGCTGGTGTTAAAGAGTCACCACTGCGAACACAAATCCATGCAGGAAAGTGCCTTCAGCGAGCCAGGACTCTGTGCAAAGCCCAATTCATCACCCCCGTCCGCTCAGCCGCCCCAGGGAACGGCCGCAGCAGCTGCTCACCCTCTGCTCAGACGCGTTGAGAGATGTCTGTAGGGTCTGGAGGTCCCAGGCGTCCATCCTCCTCAGGTAGCACGCTCGCTGCTCCACAGGTTTGTAGCACACGTAGCCCTGCGAGACGGATTGTGCCCTGTGAGAGCAGGCAGCGGCACGCACCCGCAGCTCTCTCAAGAGCCCAAAAAATGGACATTCCTCCTTCTGTCCTGCGTTACCTTTCCTAACCAAAGGTGCGGAGAAAGGCACCAAACAGTAGCTGGTTGAAGTTTTCCCTGGCCTACGCCTCCTGCCCCCACCCCAGCAGCTCTTCTCTCAGCAGCCTGGGTTCCTCTGCTCGCTTCCAGGCTAGCGAAGCAGGTAATTATCCCAACACACTTACGTTCCTGCTGTCATACAGCACCACGGCGGTGTGGTTACTCTGCGAGGTTATGTAGTAGGTCACGGTGCTCCTGGACTTGTCCACCAAGGCTGTCTGATTCCTCAGCGGGTCTTGCTGGCCCTGGAGCGTTAGCCGGACGAGCTGAGAGCCAGCCTGGGCACAAAGAGAGGGAGGGCAGCACCAACCATCTCCCCGCCGACATCCCCCCTCGGACCCTTCGCTGGTCCCTGCTGCTTGTCTGAATTATTTAGCGACAGCAGCAAGCTCTGACCCACGGGAGGGGAGCAGATCTGGGAAGCAGACCGCTCTCCATCACGCAGGGCTGGGGGAGAGGTGCCGGTGCCCCTCACACCGAAGGCACCCACCCTGCCGGGCAACAGGGTGCTGGAGGAAAGGGCCAGGGGGACTCGCCAGCCTCTGCCACGGCTGCGCACGGGGGGAGGCTGGGATCTGCCTCCCCAGCCAGCACGGCTCGCTGGCAGCAAACGTGCCCCCCCACCTCGCCTGAGAGGCCACAGCCGCACGTTGGAACGCGCCTGCTGAGCAAAATACCAGCTTGCGGCTATATTTACAAACGATGCATTGAAGTTCCTCTAATTTAAGCAACGGTTTCTGGCAGGCGCGTTGCAGGGGTGAGACAGCCGCTGCTCAGCTCGCTGCCTGCAGCGCTGCCGGCGCCTTCCCGTGTCTTCCAGTGCCGGGAACCGGCCCAAGCCAGCCCTGATCTCAGCCCGTTCCTCCCTCCCGGCAAGCGCCTCCGACACAGATCAGGGCTGCGGGCAGGAGGAGGTTCCCTGCCTGGATCGGGATCCCTTACCTGGGCAGAGCTGGGGGAGAAGCTGAGAACCCCCACGACGCTGATGCCAACAGCTGCAAAAAACAAGGCAACGGACAAGATGATCCAGAACGTCCTGGATGGAGCCGCGAAGCGCGCTGCGGCCCTCCTGTCCTGCGGGCCAAGGCAAAAGAAAGAACGGGAGTTAAAAATCAACCCCGCTGCTGGTTGTTCTTCTTCACCGTGAAAATGCACTTCCCGCTCACGACACAAATCACTCTGCAAACTGCTGGGGTTTGAATGCAGAACTGCCAGAACATCACCGCAGCCCCGGAATAACGTCACTTTTGTCCCCCAGTGCTGGAGTTTCAGATCCAACACCCCGGTAACCAGCACTCCCACAGCCGAGCACTTCCCTCCTGCGGCCGGGGAAGCGTGCAAACGCTGCAGACCCGCCGAGGAAGGGCCGGAGCAGGAACCTTTCCACAAACAGGGGCTGCTGCTGCACTGCAGCAGCAAATTAAATTATTTTGGTTTGTAGCAGAAATCCCCAGGAGAACCTTCAGCATTTGAAACAGGCCCCGTGCGGAGTGATCCCGCTTCCTTGCCCCTTTGGTTGTATTTTATTCTCTTGAGAAGTTGTTCTTCACGCAGACCAAGCTGTTACTTGAAGCAGAAGAGCTTGGCAGTCACGTGGCATTTCTAGTGGCTCGATTAAAATCCACTTTAATTCTTATATTGAAACAATTAAATTTAACTTAATGGCACATAAAATCATTTTTACAAAGCAGAAAGAATGTGTTTTCAATAATAGAGTTTCAACCACACTTAAAAAAATAATCTGTTTCTCAATCTTCCGAAGCACATAGAGAAATTCAATAAATGCCCATGGTTGGATTTGCTACAGCTGCACGAGGAACGGGCTCCGCCAGCCTCCGGGTCAGTTACTGATCGTTTTCGGTAACGTGTAACTTCCAGGTATGTTCCACTAGAAGAGCAGCGAGTCTTAACAAAGTTAAAACTGCGCAAAGCTGAAAGCTCCTCAATTCAAACGCGACGGAGCCCGAGCCCCGCAGTAACGGGCAGGTTTTCAATAGCTAACGAAATTCCCCCGGGTGGGAAAGGCGCAAATGGAGAAATCCAGCGACTCCTGTCCCGCGGCCGGCCGCAGTTCACACGTGCTCATGCACCCCGAGCGGCTCTGCAGCGTGCGAGCCGGGGTTCTTTGGCATCTCTAACGCGACCGCCCTGCCCTGCCTTGTTACACAATGGGTTTATGCCGTGTAAGTCCGGGCACTTACAGGAGAATCCAGCGGATGGAGTCGGCTGCCTTACAAGGAGCCGAACCGGGGGGTGCTGAGGTTGGGGATGAACAAAACCTTACCGGGATCCACAGGAGCGGCGGGAGCTCAGCCCCTTCAAAAGGGGAATTCAAGCAAGCACAGAGCGGGGACTCCGTCTGTGATAACTGGGGGACCAGGGATACTCACTGCAGAGGCAGCGCTGCCGGTGCTGTTCCCACCCTCCATCCTCCACTTCAGATGGGGACCTCGCTCCCGCGGCTCTGCCTCCTGACGACACGCAGACTGTGCATGATCCCCAGCCCCAGGCGCGCCTGGGAAACCTAAGCGCGCGTCCGCGAAACGTAAATACGCGTCCCTTGCAGCCAAAGGGCTTCCCAGCCAGGAGATCCTCAGCTCAGGCCGACGGGGAGGGCGAAACCTTAGAGCTGCCACCTGGGGAGAGGAGAAGGGAAGGGGGGGGCAGCCAGGGCTGCCGAGCGATGCTGTCGGTGCATAAAACTGCTCTTCCTGCTCACCTTGCGAGCCGGCCGGAGGGGGGCAGGTGGACGACAATCGGGGGCTTTGTGTCGGCCCTCCCTGCTGGCAGGCCCTAATAGCGGGACCGGGTAAGTCTCGTTAAGAGACACAATGAATAGAGAAAAGTGGCAGCCTGCCCTTGTCATCAGTTATTTCTACATTTCAGCATGAGCTTCGTGCTGCCAGAGCTCCGTGGGCCGAAGCCGACTGTTTATCCTGCAGACTGCTGCCCGGCAAGCCTCGGCTGCACAGACGCGCTCGTGTTCCACCTGCGGACCTCACTTCGTTCAGACCCCGGGGGGAAAGGAGCTCTGCTACAAAGTCATGGCCACAACCTGAGCTGCACTCCCGCTAACACCCGCGTCCTGTGGTGAGAAACACCCGGCGGGGAACAGCGTCCCCGGGTCGCCAGACCGTGGTTTTCCCGAGCAGTCCAGGAGCCCCCGTGGGAGCCGTGTGTTTCCGAGACCTGCCAGCCCGACGTAACCAACTGAACGGAGGCAAGGAAAAGCTCGGGAGGATTCCTTCACGTGGAATCTGTCAAGGGAAGATACAGCTCTTAGACATTTTCCCATCAAGCGCGGCCCAGGACTGATCAAACCCAGCCAAGAGCGCGGCTCATCCTGGCGTTTCTCGTCATCAAAGCGCTAGCAACCCCCCTCCCACTCAGCCTCTTTCCTTCTGTAGGTCGAAAATGAGCTATTTCAGCAGCAGGTCACCATTCTAGGATGCTGCTTCTGTGGGATGTGAACTCAAAACGCCGGGGGTACACGCACAATCACACCTGAACGCTGCGGCCAGCGAGAGTCAACCACCCACCACGGCCGCTCCTTTAAAACAGCAAAACTGAGGATGCAAGACTGCCGCGTCCCGTCCTGCGGCTCCGACGAAAACAGGAACGGTGTTGGAACAGTCGAACCACCCGTTCTGCTTCTGCCAACCGGGGCGTGACAGAGATGAGGCACGCTCCCCGCAGCGCAGCCTGCCAGCCGGCCGCCGCCGCAGCGGAGCTTAGCACAAGAAATTTGAAAAACCAGCTGCAACACGCAGACAGGCTGTTCTCCCCACGGAGACTGCAACAGCCGCACAGCAGACTCTTTCTTTCTTCAAGAAATTTACGCCCTGCCTAATCTAAGGCGCAGGAACGAAGCAAAAACCCTCTGTAAAACGTTGTTTGTGAAAGGATTACTGCATTCTGCTCTGCGCTTGTTCCCTTACTCAAAGCAGCAAATCCCAGCCCGCGCCAAGAGCCCCGCGCAGCTCTGGGCGCCTGAACCAAAGGAATACACTCCAGGGTTTGGGTTGCTTTCCCCGATACCGCATGTAAGGAGTAAATAATAATAATAAAGTAATAAAACAAATGATTAAAAAAATAATAATAAGTGATAAGCACAAACTGCGTCCCTAACGCCCAGAATTTCCACGCAGTACAGCTGCGCCAAAGCTCACAGAGACGCGACTACAAAACACGACAACGCCAGGGGAAAGCAGGTTTGTAAGTTTAATGTGAATTCAAGTAGAGGCTTAGAAACCGTTTGGAAGTTGATACAGAGTTTTGAAGCACGATTGACACCTTCACCAGCACATTTCAGCATACGTGAATCGAGGTAATGGTTCCCTTGTACAGCGAACAGTGCTCGGCAGGGACAGTGCGCTGCTTGAACGAGGCTGAACGCCTCTCCCGGCATTTACGACTTTACTTGACGTATTCTGAAATTATAAGCACCAGATACAGGAACTGAACCACAGAACACGCCGTTTTCCGACCCCACCTGCAGTAAACCCGTAATGTCCATTTCCACGTTACCCAGACAAAGCGAAAGTTCTACCTGTAAGTATTTCTCTGCGACTTTACGCAGTCACAGCCCTCTAGCTGGAGACGGGAACAGGGAAGAGATTATCCGAGTTACAGATGAACACCCTGCTACAAGAGCAGCTAATTTTCTGGTAACACCGAAAGACGACACGAACCGCAGGGTTATTGCTGTACAAACAAGGTGACAAGTCTACTCGTAAGCCAAAGTTCTACCTGTAAGTATTTCTCTGCGACTTTACGCAGTCACAGCCCTCTAGCTGGAGACGGGAACAGGGAAGAGATTATCCGAGTTACAGATGAACACCCTGCTACGAGAGCAGCTAATTTTCTGGTAACACCGAAAGACGACACGAACCGCAGGGTTATTGCTGTACAAACAAGGTGACAAGTCTACTCGTTTCGAGCGTGCGAGCGGAAGGAAACGGCATCGACGCACCGCTAGAGCTGTTCAGCCAAACAGTGGGAGATGAAGGAAGGCCAGCGTTTAAATTTAACTGCCGACAGTGGCATCTACGGAATAAAAGCATGTTATTTGCATATATAATTTTTCCACTTAATTCTGTAATGCGAAAGCTTTCAACTGTGGCCTTCGATTCAGCCAGCATGAAAATCTACCCCCGTGAGCCGTGCTTCACCCAAACGCACCTAAGGATCAGAATGAAATCATCACCTGAGCAAGCAAGCACTCCTCTTCAGACAAGCAACTGGTGCCAGGCCCCCACGCCGAGACACATGCGGAAGGTATTAACCTCCGCGGTTTAAAGGAAGCACGTGCCCTCGTCGGGCACAGCCAGTACTCTCCCAGGCTCGTTTCGGTGGAAAGCTGTACTGTGCACTACGTCCACCCCCCGTGGACTGAGGGCTAATTCAGACTCTGCAGCTAAAGCCAAGGCAAGCGGCTATTGTGATGCTGAGGGAGGTACAAGAACTAACTCGGTACTAATCCCGCTATTTCTGGGAAGCGGCAGCAGTGAAGGACAGTCCTACGCGGCGACAGACTTTCTGCATTACCGAATGCAAAACCGTAGGAGAATTAAACCTCCTGTGACCGGTGAAGTACATTCCTCTTATCCTCCCTTCTGGGAAACGAGATATATTATCATATACTATACTTAAATTTATATTTTAAATATATTCTGATATATATTTAGGGTCGGGGTAGTTCTTGTAGGTACACGTACTTCACGCGTACGTCCAACGCTTGGACAAATGCAGTACGCAGAAGACACCGCCTGTGTTCTGCGAGGGGAGTCACCCTGACCTGCATCGCGCGTGCAATTTGCAGCGGTCAAACGAAGGAGACGGATTTCGGTTTCTGTGACCCGACGTCGCGCTTGCAGCGGGCTGCACTGCCAAAGAGGACCCCGTCCGGGGGGGTAGGGGAATAAATCAATCTAAGGCCAGCTGCTAATTCTGCCAGCCACCGCAAGCGTTTCCAAACACAGCCGCTAAGTTATTACACGCTCCACGAGACGTTTCCCTGAATAAACCAGACTGAGCCACGGCCCGTCCGGGCGAGGACGCGCTGCAAATTGTTGGGTTCTTTTCCTCAGATCAACCAGCTCTACTTTCCTCAACTCAGTCTAGAGGACAACGTGACATCGAGTATCACAAACATTTGGATAGCTGCGTCGCTTATAACTTTTAAAAAAAAAAAAAAACAAACAAAAAAGCCCCAAGCCCACAAGACTTGGGTGACACCGTAATGCCCTCTTTGTTTCAAAGTGCATTTAAAGACCGAGATGTAAACAAAACCATACCGCGAGGACAGAACGGTTAAAAAGCTAAGGGTTGCTAACTCCGGGTGGCATCCTAGCGCGTGTGTCACTGTCACGAGGTGATTAACAGGGGCCTGCCTTGGGGTACCGCTGGGAGGCTGCAAGCGTTTTGCTATATTAATCCCCCAGTGCTGGGAGAAGGTCGGCTATGCTGTCGACGTAGTAATCGGGAACCAGGCTCTGCCTGGCGGGACAGCCGCTCTCCTGGTGGCCCTTCACTTCGTCCAGCGTGGTCACCCCGGTAAGCGTCAGCAGGGTGGTGAGGCCGCAGCTATTGCCCATGAGGATGTCTGTGTCCAGCCGATCTCCCACCATGATGGTACGAGCGGGATCGATGTCGAACTCGCTCGCCACGCAATCAAACATGTACCGGTTGGGCTTTCCTACGATGAACGCCTCGCGCTGGGCCGCCGTCTCCACTGCCTTTACCAGGCAGCCGGTCCCTAGGGAGAGAAGGGACAACGGTGGTTAGAGACCGCGGAAGACTCTCGGCGTCCCCACGGGCTGGCACGAAACCCCACGGCGTTTACGGACGGGACAGGCAGAGGAACAGCTTAGCCCCAAGGCAGGCGGCGCACAAAACCCGCCCGGAGGCTGGAATACCGTCCCGCGCCGAGATCCACCCAGACGGAACCGCTGTTCCCCGAGCGAAGGATCAAGGGGGATTCTCCCTCTTTCGGGGGGGAGGGTGGTGCAG